GCTATCGCCAGCGCTGCTTTCTAGAGTTTACCTAGACTATTAATTCAAACAATCCTGTGGGCTTGAACCCACAGTCCTCTGACGCAGACGTGAGCTTGCTACCTAACTGAGCCACATTGACTCATAAATAACATTTGGAATCTCAAAGCTAATTTATGTGAAATCATGTAGAGACAATTTTTTTGCAGCAATTCGCTTGTTGATTAGGTTTGGTGTTTTCTACCATGCCAAATAAACAAATGAACTACAACAACTTGTAACTTTGTGCTGCCTCTCAGATAGAATAATATCTCAGAACATTTTAAAAAGATGGTGTAAAAACCCTACACGGTGGGAAGTCACAAGATCACAAGATTGGCCTGGATGAAGAAGGCCGTTCAGTCTATCCAACCTCCAGAACACCCACTCTACCATGCCCCATCACAACAACAAATTGTATTTATATAGCGCCTTTTGCATCGGGAGGACATCACAATATGGGAGACAGTGAACCCGAGATGGGGGTTGGAATCAAGAGGGTGGAGGACAAAGGGGTGGGAGGATGGCTGAAGACATGGACAAAGAGAACGGTCACAGTATTAGCTGCTTTCTAAGTGTCTTGGCCTCTATCAACTGTCCTGGCAACTGTCATTGGGTGGAGTCGGAGGAATTTGAGAGATGAGTTCCAGAGACTGGAGGCATAGTGATTGAAAACTTGACATCAATAGTGGGTGAAGGAGATAAGGGAAGTTTGCACAAGAGGAATTGTTATTTAAAAAATTAGAATGCAAGACTGGAAAAAGTGATTGCTTTTTACAAAGCAGCAAAGTTCAGTGCTTGATACCTGGACTTTTATGAATTAGTTGAACTCATTCAGTAGAGGAATAAGGATGCTCCAATGCACCAAGCTCTGTGACCCCAACATCCCCACCCTCATCCAGCTCCACTGGCTCCCCATCCCCCAGAGAATAGAGTTCAAAATCTTCGTCCTCGCCTTCAAGACCCACCACAGCCTCACCCTTCCCAAACTCTGCGACCCAATGATCCCATATCAACCTGTCCACACTCTTCACTCAGCAGGCTCTGACCTGCTCCATGTCCTCTGCCGGACCTGCCCCACCATTGGCGGCCAGGACTTCAGCCTTTCTGCCCTAACCCTTTGGAACTCCATCCCACATTCCTCACATTTCGTTCCTCGCTTGCCTCCTTCGAGTCACGTCTCAAAACCGTCCTCTTCAACCGAGCCTTCAACCACCCCACTACCATCACTGCCTTCCACCCTCCCTGATCCCAACCCCTAGCTAGAGTCCAAATCCCTGACTGTCCAGAACCTTGGGACATCCTCCCGATGTGAAAGGCCCTATAAAAATGTAATTTTGTATTGTATTGTACAACTGACCACAACAGGAGTACCTGCTCCTGATCATTGTCCAGTGATCCCGGTTCAAAAGTCCAGTTGTGTGAACATCAGATGACGACAAGTAAGGATGTCAAATGATAACGCTATATAGGAGCATTTGTTATCAAAAAGCATTTGGCATATCTTATTTTGTTTGCTTGCCAAAGGATTGGAATGCAACAATGCAATTCACTTTACTACACTAGTAACTCACTACACACCTGGAACCTCTTGCCACTACCCTTTTGCCTCTACCTCTCTCTATTTGTCTTTAAATCCCACCCTAATACTTACTTTTTTGAACATGCCGATGTCAAATGTGTCCGAGACAACTCTTATAAATCCACATTGTTGATATGTCACCAGGCTCTCCCAGCCTTTGCAGCTCTTTTGAGCTCACTGTTTTGGTTCAAATATTGTAATGTTGCGGCCACAATTTGTCAAGTTCCATAAAGATACTGGAATGAAGTTAGTGGCATTTCTTAACGTCATTCACGTGATAATTATGTAATGGCTCTAACTTTATCCCCCCACCCTGTGTAATATTGTAACTCAATGACATAAAAAGAACATTAGTGTAGCAATTGATGGATGTACACTATGCAATGGGGTGCTATTTATAATGTGAATTGTGAAATTTCAATGTCTGACAATTGACCCACTTACACAATATTACTGATGCGCAGAGTTACATGTTAAATGTATTTTGCCATGTTTCATCAAACAAACCAAAGATCAAAGTACAACAATCATGAACAGCAGTTCAAGAGTTTCATCCTCTTAATCATTAATTGGCTTGTGCTTTACTCAAGATAATGTCAAATTGAAAATATATAGTCTGTGTTTGTTCATCTAAAATCTTTAAATCAAAGGATCAATCTTGGTAGATGGCACAGTGATATAGCACAGGGTACCCTAGTCTCCTGTGCCATAGAGTGGTTCTATGGTTGGAATGTGGCCCAGCCCATAATTGAGCCGGAGTCCATCCAATATTTTAAAAGGGATTTGGGTAAAAGAGAAATATTAAAGGGTATGGGAAACAAGCAGGAGAGTGAGGTTAGATAGGGACACTTGGAAAGAAAAAAACAGAGCAAAATAGGTGGGCTGAATATGCTGCAATATTCTATGATTCATTCGACAATTAGAGTTTGCGTATAGTGACCTTAAAGCGCCTGCCTGGTTCTCTCTGAAGCATTCTCTTTTGAAGTCTTTTATACATAAAACTCAGATGGATTGGATATGGTTGCATGAAAGAGTTTTGTGAGGTACAGTAAAGTTATCTCAACTCAGCGTTACCTGAAGCCATCACAGTACCTTGATACCTTTGAAAATCAAACAGCAAGTGTGGATTTATGTGGACCTTTAGCGATTGGTTTAAGAACGGCATTGGCATGGTTTTGGGAACACCTTGTGTGAATTCTTGGGATGGATAGATTGGAGCCCAAGGAGATGGAAGAAATACCCCATTGTTTAGGGAGAAATGTCTTTAAATGTGCTTAATTGGAACTAAGTTCACAGCTAATAAAAGAATCATAGAATCATAGAATCGTACAGCACAAAAGAGGCCATTCGGCCCATCGAGTCTGTGCCGGCTCTTTGAAAAGAGCAATGTAACGTCAATCCCACTCCCCAGCCCTTTCCCCATAACCCTACAGTCCTGTCCTCCTCAAATACCCATCCACCGTGTTTTTAAAAGTTATTATCGAATCGGCCTCCACCACCCTTTCAGGCAATGTATTCCAGATTCGAACAACTCGCTGCGTGAAGAAATTTCTTCTCACCTCCCCTCTGCTTCTTTTAGAGACTATTTTAAATCTGTGACCTTAAGTCACCGACACACCCACCAGTGGAAACAGTTTTTCCCTTTCTAACCTATCAAATCCCCTCATGATTTTGAAGACCTCTATTAGGTCTCCTCGTAACCTTCTCTGCTCCAATGAGAATAATTCCATCCTCTCTAACCTTTCCTCATAATCAAGGTCCCTCATTCCTGGTACCATTCTTGTAAATCTCCTCTGCATCCTTTCCAATGCCTTAACATCCTTCCTATAGTGTGGTGCCCAGAACTGGGCGCAGTATTCTAACTGAGGCCTAACCAGTGTTTTATAGAGGTTAATCATAACCTCCTGACTCTTGTACTCTATGCCCCTATTTATAAAGCCTAGAATCCCATATGCCCTTTTTACAGTTTTATCTACCTGTCCTGCCACCTTCAAGGATTCAGTTACCTGCACCCCCAGGTCTCTCTGTTCTTTTACCCCCTTAAGATTGTATTACCAGCCTGTATTGCCCCCCTCATTCTTTCTACCAAAAATGCATTACCTCGCATTTCTCCACATTGAAATTCATCTGCCATGTGTCTGCCCATTTTACCATTCTGTCTATGTCTTCCTGCAGTTGGCTATTATCCTTCTCACTGTTCACTACCCTACCTAACTTTGTGTCATCCGCAATCTTGGAAATGGTACTTGCTATACCCAAGTCCAGATAATTTATGTATATTAAGAAGAGCAGTGGTCCTAATACCGATTCCTGAGGGAGGTCACTGTACACTTGCCTCCAGTCAGAAAAGCAGCCGTTTACCACCACTTTCTGCTTTCTGTCTCCCAGCCAGTTCTGGATCCATGCTGCCACTGTCCCTTTTATACCATGGGCTTCTATCTTTCTTACAAGTCTTTCATGTGGCACTTTGTCAAATGCCTTTTGAAAGTCCATATAAACTACATCAACTGCACTACCTTTATCCACCCTCTCCGTTACCTCATTGAAAAATTCTATTGGATTTGTTAGACAAGATTTGCCTTTAACAAATCCATACTGGCTGTCCCTAATTAACCCATATTTTTCTAAATGAAGATTTATTCTGTCCCGGATTATAGTCTCCAGGAATGTCCCCACTATTGATGTTAGGCTGACTGACCTGTAGTTCCCAGGTTTGTCCTTCTGTCTCTTTTTGTACAGGGGAGTAACATTGGCCACTCTCCAGTCCTCTGGCACCACCCCTGTATCCAACGAAGATTGAAAAATTGTAGTCAAAGCTTCCGCTTTTTGTACCCGTGCCTCCCAAGGGTAAAAGAATGGGTTAATGAATTGTCATCATGTTGAATCAAAGTACTATACAACAGTAACTTTGATATTTGTGACTCAAATCTGACATGCGCTTAAGATCAACCTTACAGAATATTTACGTTTTATTAAAATCAAGTAAACATAGCAAATAGATATCTGATGCAATAAATCGGGGTGGGGGTGGGGGGGGGCAGGTTCCCATGGAATAGTCCTGAGTTAGATTGAGGTTCAGCTAATATCCAGAGATGGATATCAATGTGCATTTACTTATACACAAAATCTGGATTTCTCTCCCTCCCATCTCCCATTCAGTTCTGCGGGGGGGATAATCCTCTCCCAAAGAGATCGCCTTATAATGTATTGCTTGCCCGGAATGCTGCCTGGCTTGCTTGCTTGCTGTAAAGCAGCTTTCACTTCTGCAGAGTGTCAGAGAGGTCACTTGGTTTGCAGCCTTGGATTGCAGCTCAATGACGTTATGTGGGAGAGGAGGGGAGGAGGAGAGAAGAGGGAGAGGGAGTGGGTGATAAATACAGGCTGGCGCGTCACTCCCAGCACCGACAGAGCAGAGTGAGAGCAATTGACGAGCAAGCCTCAAACACAGCCCAGAGACAACAGGTTAGTGCTCAACGTGAAACCCATTTGTTTTGTTCCACCAGCTGCATCTGGTGTCCGGTGTGCGCAGCCAGGGAGAAAACTTGAAGCTGCTTTAATCCTCCGCTGAATTCAACCCGACATCTTCCAAATGCTTTTTGGGAGCGTTTCCTCACCAGCTTCTTAACAAAAGGCTTCCTTCCCCCCGTGCTGGACTGCGCTGTACTAGACTGGGAGCTGAGCACTGTAGCTCCTTTATGCACAGTTAAATTAACCTGTTTCAACAGGGGAGGGGGGGGTTAACCAGGTAAGGATTAAAAAAATAATAAAAATTATTTTATTATTATAAAATAGGTAGAATTTTCCAGCCAAATGTAAAACATTGGCACAAGTTTTCTCCCCCCATCCCCATATCCTGGCTACTTCATATTGGGTGGAAGGAACAAGAGGGAGAATAAATGTGAAGAAATGTGTTCTCTTTTGTTTCAAAGTTTCTGTTCATGTAAAATCGTGGTTAACCTTTGTGTTCACAGCTCAGGATACAAGTCATGGGCTCGAAGGCAGCAGAAATGCAGCAGGTAAACTTTATGTAGTGTTGTTCCGACTTTAATCTCTCTGTATTTTTAAATATTTCGAAGTATTTTCATTTTAAAAGTATTTTTACTTCATTGACCCGTTGTGAAGTATTTTATAATCTCACTTTTTTCTTTAGGGGTAGCTTTAGATTTGTGTTGCTTAAAGTGACTTAATAATAATAATAATCCTTGCATTTGATATAGCGCTTTTCACGTGTTCTAGACAAAGCGCTTCACAGAATATACTGTAAAGTGAATTGACTGTATATTTGTGGGCGAAATGCAGCAGCCAAATTGCGCACAGCAGTGTACTACAAGCAGTCGTGGATTGAAATGATCAGTTTATTATTGGTTTATTTTCTTGAGGGATTATTATTTGGCGTGTGGAGTAAGGAAACTTGCCCAAGGTTTCGCCCTGCCTTTTGGAATGAATAATTGTATATATTCTGTACTGTCTGATTCCACTTGTGACCTTGGCTGAAATTTGTACATTCCTCAATGACGCCACCCGCTTGCCTCCTTGGTTGAAGACATTGACTTGTTCAGATATGGTTTTATGCTTGTAGACAAGGTACCCTAATACCTTGGCCAAGTAGCCATTCCTGTGAGATGGGGTGCTTTCTCTGTGGAGAGTATCAGTCGGCTTTTTGACTGTACCCAGGGATGCAAAACCAAGTCTGATTTTGATGTCCACGTATGTGAAAACTTTAATTGAAGTCGCTGTACAGTAATCCATTATTTCATGTTTTGTATGGAAAGATTGGTTATTCTTTATGAATAATAATTATTATCAGTATGATTGCACATATTTATTACTTTAATTATTATTATAATTATTACAGATTATTATAGTATTTATGCATTACTGACTTATTTTTGAACCTGTCGCAGAGTGTGGTTGGCAGAGTTGCTAACTTGCCACTTGTGAGTACCGCCTACAATATGGTAATCTCTGTGTACTGCAACACAAAGGAGAATCATCCCTACTTGAAATCGGTTTGTGAAGTTGCAGAGAAAGGAGTGACGGTCATTACGGCTGTAGCGGTCACCAGTGCCATGCCAATCATCCAGAAGCTGGAGCCACAAAGTAAGTGTGGGGAGCTGGGAATGTGACTACTGTAAAAAAGCTTTCCAACTTCTTGGGACGTACTCCCGACTTGAAAGCCGCTATACAAATGTAATTTTGTTGTTTTATTGTGTTCAAATTTAAATCTAATTCTGTCCAATATAAACTTTTGAACCACAAGATCAGTATGATTGCACATAACAACATGGTAGTTTTTAATACTGCTGCATAGATCTATAATTGGATGCTTCTCTGACTACTTCAAAATGATGGCCTACTGACGGTGAAAAACACTTGTGTTATAATTGTTCATTGTAAACCGGAAATGTACTGTAGCACTGTATAAATCTTAAAGGTGTTAATGGTCTGTTAGCTTAGTTACAACATCTCATTTGCGTCACAGCAATATGTATACAACAACAACAACTTAAGTTTGCACAGAATTACCAGAAAAATCTTCATTTTAAACCTGTTTTTCTACCTTTCATAAAACAAACCCTTACAAGTGGAGACAATTTTATACAATTCTGTGCCACCTTAAATTTTTAAGACCGCATAGTCTTGTGAGCTGTGTTGAAAATGTAATGGTGCTGAACAGTTGCCTAGTTCCAAGATGCAGAGTTGTGCATCCTCTTGCCTTTCACCTAGTTCCAGCTATGCAACAGCTGTGTGGCATTGATAACCTATTCGTACACTCATAGCTGTCTCAACCATGTGCGCATTGAATTTTTGTAGCAGCTGCTTGACATTGGGTGCAACAGAAGGGTTTATCTTCCCTGGAGCTGATTTAGTATATTGATTCTATTTGTTACTGCAGGGCTTTGAAGTATCTGCAAACTCCTGATTGGGGGAGAAGTGAGATTCCTGAACTATTAACCCTTGCCTAATAGCAAATCTACAGAAGCTTCTCCCTTCTCTGGGTTGGATTTGCATGTCGATCCTGAAACACTATTGTTAACTGAACTAAATCTTACCTTTTAACTCTCCATTTTACAAATAAACATTGTTTGCTGCATTTCAAAATTAGTTTTTTTTTCAACTCCTGTTGCTCCTATCACAACTTTTTGGAAGTGGGATTACAAAGTGTTTTTTTTAAATTGGATTAAAAACTTGTTTTACAAGTTCTAATGCCAATGGAAGCATGAAGTTTGACAGCACTGGCATAAGTGCAACAATTTCAATCTTTTGATGTGAAATCATATTAAATTACTATAATAATAGTAATCCTTGCATTTGATACAGTGCCTTATCATGTCTTTGAGATATCTCAAAGTGCTTCACAGAGTATACTGTATAGTGAATTGACTGTATATTTTTTGGGCGAAATGCAGCAGCCAATTGCACACAGCAGTGTCCCATAATTAGTTGTGGATTGAGTGAGCAAATTATTATTTTTTTAAAACATTTTTGGAAGGAATTATTACCCCCGAAAAAGTGATCCGCTAATCAACTAACAACCGAGTTCCTACTTACTGCTAAGTAAACAGAGGCCTGTGGAGTAAGGAAACTTGCCCAACGTTTCGCCCTGCCGGAAATCAAACCCAGGTCTCTTGCTTGTGAGGTGAATGCTCTAATCACTGAGCTACAGGACTCCATGTCCCAAAAGTACCAAAGGAACGTAGGAATGGGAGTAGCCAGTCAGCCTATCGAGCCTGTCCACCATTTCCCAAGATCATGGCCAATCTGCAATTCAATTCCACCTCTCTCCATACCCCTTAATATCCCTGCATATCAAGTATTTATTTGCCTTTTAAATCTTTCGATTGACTCTGGAGCAGTGAATTCCACACTCGCACCACCCGCTGCATGAAAATATATTCCCTTATTTCACTTTTAAACGGTTTAGCCTCAAGTTTAAGACTATAGCCTCTAGTCCTCAATTCTGTCTGCAGAGGAAATAGTTGCTCACTATTCAGCCTGTTAAATCCGTTTATAATTTTATAAACCAAATTAGGTGTCACATTCTAAACAGCAATTTTAACATCTTAGTTTTGAGCCTAAGTGATGTACTACAGACAAACCTCTGTGCAAACTTAACAACCTAATTCTTTTTGCAGTTACATTTGCCAATGATTATGCCTGCAAAGGACTAGACAGGATTGAAGAGACACTGCCTATTCTCCTTCAACCCACTGACAAGGTATTGTAATTATACAATTCAAATAATTGTCTATCACTTTTACAGTGCTGTTTTGGGGCTTTTGAATCTTCCGTAGCCTATTTGTTTATTTGGAGATAAACAAACCAGATTAATTTGGCCTCAATGAGGCTAGTGACATTGTATTAGCAAGGCAGTGTCCTTTTTATAATGTACATCTATTGCCACAAGGACAGAGTTGCTACAGATTGAATGTTTCAAAATAGAAAAATGTTATCAGAATTTAAAAACTATTGTAACGTCTGATCTTATGACCCAGGTCAAGCAGGATTTGACTGATCACTTTTTTTAAGTGGGTGGTGTGGAGTTGCATAGCACTATTGTGTGCCTGTTCCAATATTGTTTAGAGCAGTAAAATTAAAACTCGTATGGGGCTAAGGAGTAAAAACATTTCACAAAGAATTCCCGAATTTAAGAACCGGAAGGGTTAGTCAGCAGGGCACAGTACGAATCCTTGTATCTTTTCTGTACAGAATGAAATGGTGCAGTGGGTGAGATCTTGTGCAGCTCGACTGCAACCTATATTGGGCTGGGAGATTTTGGCCTGACGCCATTACTTGAATAACAACAAAATTACATTTGTATAGTGCCTTTCACGTCGGAAGAACGTCCCAAGGCTCTGGACAGTCAGTGTTTCCGACCCGAGCTGGGGTTTGGGATCAGGGAGGGTGGAGAGCAGGGGGGGAAAGCAGGGTGATTAAAAGCACGGTCGAGGAGGAGGGTCTTGAGATGGGTCTTGAAGGAGGCAAAGGAGGGGCCAAGGCGGAGGGACTGCAGGATGTAGTTCTAAAGGTTACAAATACAGTTGTGCTTCAACAACACCAGCTTCCGGTTTAGCCTCCTTCATCGTAAGTGGCACCATATACACGGAGAACTCATCTTAAGTGCTTAGAAAGTCAGTCCAAGGGCAGAGTGACCTTGCTGCAATATTTTTGAGGTTTTTGCCCATGGAGTGAAACAAGGTTGTGCATGTTTTTGCAGGTTGTTGCTGATGTAAAGGTTATGGTCAATATAAAAGTGATTGGTGCTAAGGATGCTGTAACTCATACTGTGAGTGGTGCAAAGGAGTCTGTTGCCAGCACTATTACTGGAGTATTTGACCGGACCAAGGAAACTGTCCATGGAAGTGTGAAGATGACCAAGGCAATGGTGAATGGCAGTGTTAATACAGTCTTGGGATCGAGTGTGGCTAAAATGTTCAGTAACGGAATGGATTCTGCCTTGAGCACTTCAGAGGCCCTTTTAGATCACTATCTTCCTCTTACTGATGATGAACAAGGTGGGCCATGTGTAATAGTAATTGCTTTTAAGATTGAGCATCCTGTCTGTCTGTCTCTGTCCCTGGAATTTTAAACTCACTACCTTGATCATGATGGTGGGATGGATGGTCATTGATACGGTTTAACAATGCTCCATTTCCAGGCACTGAAGCTGCATAATTCAATCAAACGTCATATCTCTAAACAACAACACAACAATTTTCACTTAGAATGAAAGTCTTAAAGTACTTTGGGGGCGGGGGGGGGGGGGGGGGGGGGGGGGGGGGGGGGGGGATATTAAGGGCCCAACTAGCAAGAATCATGGATCTTGACTAAAATCATGGTTGAAATCCATGTTTTTGAAGGTGGGGAAACAAGGCAATTTTTTTTGTTTAGAATTCCAGAGGATGGATCTTTGTGGTTTTAAGGCTTTGCAACCAACATTGGGACTAAGAGAATGAGTATTAAATAATAGGCCAGAATCAGGAGTAGAAGGTACAGACAGATGAATGGGGTTGGATGAAAATGCATGGATTGGGGGGAGATTGAAGGCATTTGTAAGTTAGAGTGAGAATTGTGAAGTAATTACGCTGTAGTATTGGGAACTAGTGAAGTCTGGTGAGGATGGAAGTAATGGATGTGAGAATTCTGCTTCTGGAGAGAAACACAGGCTGCAGAGTTTTGAATGCACCGGAGAGTGGAACTAAGGCTTGTGGGTAGAGCAGTCTGTACTTAATGTGACTTCAGACATGAATGAGCAAGTGATTTGGGGGGCAGGGAGGAGGCAGTCTACGCCATGGACCAGCTGTCCGTTTTCAAGTTATCAGAGAATCTGTGTGAGGTCAAACTTGATACCAAGATTGTGAACAAAATGTAGCTTGAGGGTTTTGTCTTCCAGAACAGCATCTGCTTTGTGTTTTATAGCAACCTACTGTGCTATAAATAGCATATTCCTACTAAAGTGGAATATGCAGAGGTAACCCCTGCTACCCCTGGCCACAAGGAGCTGAGTATGTTGCGTCCTGTAACAGGATAATAATATGCTGCGTCTTCTTTTCTGAACCGGGTTTGAAACTACCTGAGATAAGCGTATGTATATATGTGTGTGTCAATATATATATATATATATATCTCAACAAATAAATAAATATATATTTTGTAAAAAAAATGACTTTTTCCCTTGCATTAACATCTAAAACAAATTGAATAGTAATGGTGGTGAAGTTGTGTTGCCAGTTGAAGTCCGTACATATGTTTTTCTTTCTCGTCAACATTTCTTTCCTTAAAACAGAAAATGGAGGTGAGGAACTGGAAATGGGAGATGTACTGAAGGTTTTGAGCCCAAGTTCTTTCAATTCCTCAACCTGGTTGTCTAAATATAGTACTTGCTTGATGGTTTACTTTTTTGTTGGATTACAGCTTGAGTGTGAGGCAGGGATGGGTACAAAGGAAGAGAAATATTGAATATTCTGTGCTAGAAGACTCCAGCTTGACTGTTCTTGTAAAATGCCATGCATATATCATGTCTGGGCTAGTTGCATTTGTTTTATCTGTAGCATTTCAAAATTGCCTGTAAGCCGTATTGAGTTATTATCCTACATGCAGCAAGTAGGTAAGCAATGAGCTCCCTGAAAGAATGTTACAAAACTTTAACATGTGAAAAGTTTATCTGGAACCTAATATATAAAACTACTCTTCTTACCTTGTCACATTAGCTTTTTAAAATCTAATTGATTCACTGATGGCCATGGCTGATGAAGTTAAGTCACATGCTTGTTCAAAACTCTGTGGGAGATCAGGTCCATCAAATTTGAGGGACCATCCATCTCCATTATTAACTGCCCAAAGAGCTACGAAAAAAAAACAAGTGGGTGATCCAGGCTTCTAACCCTCTCCTGTGTATATTGCCTCAACAACAAAAAAATACATTTATTAGCACCTTTTACATCAGGAGGACGTCCCAAGGTGCTGGACAATCAGGGATTTGGACCCAAACAGGGTGTTGGGATCCGGAGGGGTGGAAAACAGGGAGGGTAGGGGTAGGAGGGTGACCAAGGTGTGGTCGAAGAGGAGGGTCTTGAGACATGCCTTGAAGCAGGCAAGGGAGGAAGGAGAATGGAATGTGGGATGGAGTTCCAAAGGGTGGGGGCAAAGAGGCTGAAGGCCTGACTACTGATGGTGGGGCGGGCCGGGTCAAACCTCTTTGAATTCCAAGGTTATTTTCCCCAATTTTACTTTTTTTAAAAAAAAAAGTTCCCTTGTTTATAGAATGCTACTGCTACAAATGTGAATTATTATGAATACATTCACACTCTTACAAGATAATAGAATGAAAATAGTTTTACTCAAGGAAACCAGTTGGCTCTGAAACCAACTTCCATCAACTGCCCAGTAGTTGACTTACTGAAGTGTATTTAACTTACAGCTAAAGAAGTCAAAGATATTGAAGGATTTGACATTGGGACTCCAAAACCAAGCTGTTTTGTCAGACTTGGATCCCTTTCTGTCAAAGTCCCTCAGCGAGCTTATCAGCAAGCTTTGGCTAAAATACGCAATGCTAAACAACGTAGTCAGGAAGCAGTATCTCAGCTCCACTCTACGGTTGACCTGGTAAGTTTCCACCATTTAATGCAAATTATTTTTTTCTAAAACTATTGTGTACAGATTGTAGAATTTTTTTTACTTAAACTAAATTATTGTACTGAACTACTTGTTCTGATTCCATTTAATCCTACTAGCAATTCAATTTTCTGTCTTTAGATGGTGAGCTAATCAGGAAAAATGTATTGTATTGCTAGAAGCCTAGATTTGTAGTGGAGTATGTAAATTCAGTGTATTTAATTTCATTATTTCTTAAATTTTCCTAGTTATACACTAGTAGATTGTTTGAGATCAGTCCTGCAAGCGCCCTGGTCAGGTAGTTTTGCCACTGCCAGTTTAATGTTGAATGTGCTGTTCCAGATCGAGAATGCCAAAGAAAATTTGGGCACAGCAAACCAAAAGATCTACAATACCCAGGAAGTACTTTACCAGAAATGGTGTGAATGGAGACGATATCTGGTTGAAAATGACCAGTCTCAAACAGCAGAGGTATGTGTTTTGAACTTTGAATCCACGTAAAGACAGGACCGCTTCACAGGATAAATTATAAAGTTCAGTGACTGTGTTTTGTGGGTGAACACAACAGCCAATTTGCACAGAGCAATGTCCCACAAACAGCTATGAAGTAACCAACTTTTGGATGGGGTGAAGAGGGGGGAATTTTTGGCCCGGACACTGAGAGAAACTCCTTTCTCTTTTTGAGTAGTGCCATAGGGTCTTTAACATCCACCTGAATGGGCAGTCAGTGCCTCAGTTTAATTAATTCAAAGGAATACACCTACAACAAAGCAGTATTGGAGTGTTGCCTTGACTGTCAATGCAAAGTCCTGACATTGGCTTGAACCCACAACCTGATTCAGACCAAGAACCTACCAACTGAGCCAGGCCGACTAATATATATCTTAGACAATGATCTGGGTGTTCTTTTCTGGGAATTTAAATTGGACGCAGATGATGGTCCACTTGGGAAGTCATAAAATTGTACAATTTTAGTCCCAAACTAAATTGGATGTTTTCTTCATAGCAAATTGAATCCCGTACACTTGCTATTGCTTGGAACCTGAGCCAACAGCTGCAGGCCACCTGCCTCACTCTTAAAAGCAGCATCCAAGATTTACCACAGAATATTCAAGTACAGGTCCAGAATATCAATATTTTGGCCAGGGATGTGTACGCTACATTCAAGTCACCTGCTTCCTTCAAAGAACTGACCGAGCAGATCCTCACCACAAGCAAAGAGCAGCTAACCAAAATGAAGGAGACACTGGATGGAGTAATGGATTACTTGGTCAACAACACGGCCCTGAATTGGCTAGTAGGTCCCTTTTACCCACAACTGGGTGAATCCCAGCACCCTGAGCAGGGGGAAGAGCAGACAAAGTCCACAGAAGGGCAAACAAAGTCCACAGAAGAGGAGATGAAGGCTACGGAAAGGGAGCCTGAGGCCATGGAAAGGAAGACTGAGGCTGTAGAAGGGGAGACTAAGTCCACGGAAGTAGAAGCTGAGGCCACAGAAGGGGACACGGACGCCACTAAGGAAGAAAATGAAATTCATCAGTCTTAAGTTTGTGTGATGCCTGATTCTGTTTCATTTTATAACTGTTCACATCATTGCCTTTGCTCTTGTGTTTAATTTTTTTTACTTTGAAAGATGGGAAGAATGACCATTTAGATTGCTGTAATACAGGAATGGTATTACTCGGATTTGATTACTTTCACGGCTAATTTAGTCCCAGTGTGGTATTCCTCTTGCTTTAGACTGCTTTTTAAGTTTGTATTTCATATTCATATGCACTTAATAAATACTTCAAGAGCAATCTGACCATGTGGATGTCTTGATGTTCAAAACTTCAATCTAACTCTTTTAAATGTTTCTTCTACAATCAGGTAATTTGCATTTAAGTAAAGAACTAGATTGTATTGAAGCATCTGAGGCCTGAAATTCTTCTTGGTCTCTAATATTTTCTAAATTAAAATTGCAAATGCACAAATAAAGGAAATGTCTTAACTTTGGGAGCTAGTTCTTTAAAGTACTACATAAACCTGTCCTGAATTAACACGAAATGAAAGAATTTTACAGAATTCTGCACAATCTTTGGTTAAACCACACACTAAAACTAAGTAGCTGTGAGCCTCTGGAGATGTGGCTACACTTGGAAAGAAATTTGCTACAATTTTGGTTCAACTGCTCTTTGACCATTTTACATCAAATGTTGGAGCATCCTACACAACTTGAGAAAGAAACCAAGCTTTAATAAACTGATCCTGTTATGCACAACACCAGGATTATCAATATGATATGAGCTGTTGGATTTATATCACCAACTTCACATGAATCTCACTCTGATCTCACTTTAGCTTGAGCATCTGTGAATGTCTGTGATAGATACTATGCACATTGCAGAGCAATGCTGCACTGAGCCCTGACTGATCTTGTAAGTGAATCTACTCGATTAATTTCCATGATGCTTTCCTCCTGCCATCATGCTCACTTAGGTAGGTGGAATAAACCTCAGGTGGAGGGATCAAGGTGTCCCCCACATTGGAGCTCTCTAGTTCTAATCCCATGTTGCTTCTCTTTCTACATGCCCTTTAACATCAGTTTTCCTCAACTTTTTGTCCCAATATTGTTTTAAAACCTGCTTCATACTCTGCGGAAGACACATCCGTAGTCAGTTATTCTACATTCTAATAACCCTCAAAGAAAATCTAACCTCTATTTTCCTTATGATTGTGGTCTTAATTTATATCCTGTTACACATTTGTTGATCAGTGGAAAGAGTAGAGTGGGAGTAAAGCTCTAGATAAAAAAATCACTCAAAACAGGAGAAAATTACATATGGACACAGGGGTCACGCGTTAGGATGCCTCAAGAATTGGTTGTGAGAGGACTGTTTATAATATATCTAATGTGGGTGAGTGAGTGGGGGGGGGGGGAGATAACAAGAGCAGGTGAGTGAGGGGGTTGAGCCTGGCAGATGAGCCTGACCCCTCCTCCCCATAGCTTAGTGAGGGTGGGAGGGGGGACCTGGTAGCCTGACACACACATACTCCCAGCAGTGAAACACTGCTGTGCGCAACTGACTGCTGTGGTTCTCCCACAAAATACAGTCACTTTACAGTATATCTTGTGAAGGGTTTTGAGACGCTTGGAAGAAGTAATAAAGTGCTGTATCAAATGCAAGGATTATTATTATTAATACAGTACAGAACCCAGCTCTTGTTGCTGCAGGAAGAGCCTTTGCACCTCCGCAGAGGTGGGAGTCTCGAGATGTCCTTTCCTGGAGGTTCTGCTGCCCTTTACTGGTCCCCACTCCGCCATTCTTTATCTACAGGATGGTGAGCCACCGTCTCACTGTTATGATATTTCAAATCCACGCGACTAAGCAGTTGAAGTTGTATTAAGTTTGAAAAAGTACTTTGGTGAAAAATTTGGCAAGGACACCACCTGTTGGCCACAATAAGCAGTAACTAATAGTTATAGGAACATAGGAATTAGGAGCAAGAATAGGCCATTCAACCTTTCAAGCCTGCCCGCCATTCAATAAGATAATGGCTGATCTGCTAACTTAACTCCATCTGCCCGCCTTATCTCCATATTCCTTAATCCCTCTATCCTTGAGAAATCTATCAATCTCAGTCTTGAATATTTCAAGGACTGAGCATCTACAGCCTTCTGGGGTAGAGCATTCCATAAATTCACTACCCTCTGAGTGAAGAAGTGTTTTTTCAACTCTGTCTGAAAGGGCTGACCCTTAATCTTCAGACTGTAACCCCTAGTTATAGATTCTCCTTCCAGGGGAAACAGTCTCACACTGTCTACTCTGTCAAGCCCAATAAGAATCTTATATGTTTCTATAAGATCACTGCTAATTCTTCTATATTCTAGAGAATATAGGCCTAGTTTACTCAACCTATCCTCATAGGTCAACCCCCTCATCCCAAGAACGAACCTAGTGAATCTACACTGCACCCCCTCTAAGGTGAGTATGTTTGTTCTTAAATAAGGAGACCAAAACTGCATACAATATTCTAGGACAAAACACAAAATACTGCAGATGCTGGAATCTGAAACAAAAACAGAGAGCTGGGAAAACTCAGCAGGTCAGGCAGCATCTATGGAGAAAGGAAAGTAAGTCAACGTTTTGGGTCCACGACCCTTCATCAGAACTGGGGCATGTTGGGAGGGAGAGGTTTTTAAGGACAAGTTGAGAGGGGGAGGCAGAACAAGACGACAAAGAATACAAAATAGAAGACAAAGGAGAGAATGTGTTAGTTGATGGGTTAAAGAGGTGATAGTGCCATAAAACAAAACTCTTGTATTCTAACCCTTTTGCAATAAATGCCAACACACCATTAGCCTTCCTAGTTGCTTGCTGTACCTGCATACTAACTTTATGTGACTGGTGTACCAAAATCCCTCTGAACACTAACACTATCTAGTTTCTCCCCTTCTAGAAAATAATCTGATTTTCTACCAAGGTGAATAACTTCACACTTCCCCATATTATATTCCGTCTGCCACCTTCTTGCCCACTCACCTAGCCTATCTATATTCCTTTGCAATCTTTTTGTGTCATCCTCAGAGCTTACTCTCCCACCTAGCTTAGTATCATCTGTGAATTTAGATATTTTAAGTTCCATGTCCTCGTCTAGATCATTGATATAGATTGTAAATAGTTGAGGCCCAAGCACTGATCCTTGTGGCACTCCACTAGTAACATCCTGCCAATGTGAGAAGGACCCGTTTATCCCTACTCTCTGTTTTCTACCCGTTAGCCACTTTTCGATCCATGCTAATATACTGCCTTTAATTCCATGGGCCCTAATCTTGTGTAGCAGCCTTTTATGTGGCACCTTGTCGAATGCCTTCTGAAAATCTAAATATATTACATCTACTGGATTCCCCCCTATCTAACCTACTAGTTACATCCTCAAAAAACTCTAAAAGATTTGTTAAGCATGACTTCCCTTTTGTAAAGCCATGTTGACTCTGCCTAATCATGTTATGGTCTTCTAAGTACCCCACTACGACATCCCTAATTAAGGATTCTGGAATTTTCCCTACCACCGATGACAGACTAACTGGTCTATAGATCTCCATCTTCTCTCTCAAACCCTTCTTAAATAGTGGTGTTACGTTTGCGATCTTCCAATCAATGGGAACCGTTCCAGAATCCAGAGAATTTTGGAAGATCAAATACAAGGCATCCACTATCTCTGCAGCCATCTCTTTTAAAATCCTAGGAAGCAGGCCATCAGGTCCAGGGGATTTGTCATTTTTCATCCCAACAGTTTTACTAGTACTAATTCTTTACTTATGTTAATTTCCCTAGGTTGCTCACTAACATTGGCTTCTTGGTTCCCCCTCTATATTTGGTAAGTTTTCAGTCTTCTAACTTGAAGACAGAAGCTAAGTATTTATTTAATGATTCTGCCATGTCTTTATCCCCCATTATAATTCCTCCTGTCTCTGCCTGTAATGGACCCACATTCACTTTTGCTAGTCTTCCTCTTTATGTAATTGTAAAAACTCTTACAGGCTGTCTTTATGTACCTAGCTAATTTGGCCTCATAATCCATTTTCTCCGTCCTAATCAGTTTCTTAGATTTTCTTTGTTAGTCTCTGAAGCCCTCCCAATCCTCGGATTTACTGCTCTTTTTGGCAGTATTATAGGTCTCTTCGTTTAATTTTATACTTTCCCTAACTGCTCTAGTTAGCCATGTTTGAACCATGGTATTTTTATTCCTCAAGGAAATATGTGACTTCCCCAGTCTATTTTAGCTAAATCCTCTCTCATACCCGCAAAGTTGGCTTTATTTAAATTTAAGACACTGGCTTCGGACTTAACTACATCACTCTCTAACTTAATGCTAAATTCTATCAGGTTATGGTCACTCTGCCCAAGAGGAACCTTAACTTCCAGATTGCTGATTAGCCATATTTCATTACATAAAACAAGATCTAGGATAGCCTGTTCCCTGGTTGGTTCCTCAGCAAACTGATCTAGAAAATTATCTCTAATGCATTCTATAAACTCCTCCTCTAACTTACTTTTGCCAATTCAGTTTTCCCAATCTATATGAAGATTAAAATCACCCACAATTAGTGTATTTCCTTTGCTACATGCTCCTTTCATTTCCTGGTTAAAACTCTGTGCAATACTGTGACTGCTGTTTGGGGGTCTATAAATTACTCCCACTAATGTTTTCTGCTCCTTGTTATTTCGTAATTCCACCCCTACTGGCTCTACATCTTGATTTTTTGATTTAAAATCCTTCCTCTCTACTGTTTTTATCCCATCCTTTATTAGCGGGGCTACGCCCCACCTCATTTTCCATGTTGCCTATCTTTCCTATATGCCGAATACCCCGGAATATTTAGCTCCCACCCTTTTTACTCCTGCTCCTACATGTTATGTTATAGGGATTAAGGGATATGGGGATAAGGCAAGGTTAGGTTATTAGCTGGAGTTAGATTAGAAGATCAACCATGATTGAATGGCGGGCCAGGCTCGAAGGGCCGAATGGCCTACTCCTGCTCCTACATGTTATGTTATGTTATGTTATGTTATGTTATGTTATGTTATGTTATGTTATGTTATGTTATGTTATGTTATGTTATGTTATGTTATGTTATGTTTGATCTCCCAGTAACCATGTCTCAGTAATGGCTACTAGATCATACCTGTTTGTTTCTATTTGTACCATTAATTTGTCTATCTTATTACGAATGCTTCTTGCATTCAGATATAGCACCTTTAATTTTGACTTCTTGCTATTTCCCCTACTCGCTAATGCTCTACTTTCTTTTCTGAACT